TTACAGCTCGAGAAACCTGCAGATCGTTTTTAAAGTCGACTTACAACTCTGGTACATGAAAGTTTTGTTTATGGTCTAGCACAAGACGTGTGTAATATCTTGACTTCTGATATTAATTCCTATATAATTAACATATTGTGTTTGAAATACTGAAAGTTGTTAAAACCTTGATCTTAAATCGTGTAATTATTTCGTTTCATGTCTGCGCATATATATATATATATATTAATGTATATCTATATTATAATACCAGGATATAGGTAAGTAGAACCCTGCTGTTTTAATACATATTTATGAGTTTACGTTCGTGTTAATTAGAAATGGCTCATACAATTAATTTCTCAACGCGAATTGAAGATGAATATACATAGCATGAGACCAATGAATTAAGGTTTTATGGTTAAGTTCCTTCTGTAGACACATACAGCATTTAGTTTGCTGGTTTTGCTTCGTTAAACTCTTTATCCTTGTTACTGATAATTTTTAAATTCCCACTTTTTACCTATAGTTCAAACATGTTACCCAATTGTAAAATCATAGCTCTAAGTCTACATTAAGAGGGGTAGTAACTATTTGTTTATCGTTAAGTTTGTTTATTGGATGTTTGCTGATTTTTATTTCGACGATGTTGTAAGCTTAGTGCTGAAATTGATAATAATAATGTTGTAAGCTTAGTGCTGAAACCTTACAACATTATTATTATCAAATAATGTTGTAAGCATAGTGTTGAAATGATAATACTAATGTTGTAAGCATAGTGTTGAACTTGATAATAATAATGTTGTAAGCTTAGTGCTGAAATTGATAATAATAATGTTGTAAGCTTAGTGCTGAAATTGATAATAATTTTGTAAGCTTAGTGCTAAACTTGATTTTGATACTGTTGAAAATTTAGAGCTAAATCTGATTTTGATACTGTTGCGAGCTTAGTTCTAAACTTGTTTTTTATACTGTTGTAATCTTAGTGCTAAACTTGATTTTTATACTGTTGAAAGTTTAGAGCTAAATCTGATTTTGATACTGTTGTAATCTTAGTGCTAAAATTGATTGTGATACTATTTACAAACCTCTTAAAACAATTATTGTATTTATTTCATACTAACCGCGACCCGAGTAGTTGCGGTAGTTTTCATGCCCTTCGCTTGAATTTTCCTTATGCTATCGTTTTCATGTACGTCATTTAAGCTAGGTTTTCTTGCAGGCATTATGTGTTAGATCAATAAACCCAGGTCAAATTTTTAAAAATATATACGCAGTCAGACAAATAAACTAACGTATACGTAACATTATTTCATAAAACTACACGTAGTTAACTTTATTTAATAAAAACTGCTCGTAAAGTAAACAATAAAGTATAGGAATGGTATTTATATTAGTGTCAAAAATATGAAATAGTTATGAGCGTTCAGTGTATGACACAATTTTACGAGTTGAAACAAAGAAACTCATAAAAATGAAAAATATAACCCGTAGTAAAGAAAAGAGTAGCTGAAAGGTGTTTATAGCAGTCTATGAAACGAATCGAAGCTATATTATTGCAAAGTTAAGTACATGTAAAGTTGTAATGAAGGTGAACTTAGCTGAATATGCAGAAACGTCTGAATGCGTGTTCACAAAGTGATAAACATGTTATTTCAAAGGAATTGCGCATGCGTATTTTATACCTAAATAAGTCGCGAAAGCTCATAGAACTTTTTCTTAGTGTAATGTTCATTTTTTTAGGAAATTACATGCGGGTTAAGTGTTGTTTTTGTGAAATACTTTCCAAATAAAAAAAAATCCTAAAGTTGAAATCGAAGCCAGTCGTCACATGATGACAACGACATTGTGCTATCGTGTAACATACTAGATGCATTAAAAAGTTTGACTAAGCAAAAAACGGGTTAGGTGATTCTGAATGAATAAGCCAATATAAAATTGAAAATCCTCGAACAAAGGCCTTTCCAAGGATATGAGATTTGTAGCGTTTTGATCGAAAAATTTGCGAGAAAAGCTCCGGAAAGACAAACGCAGGCATAATATTTATATAGATGATCTGAGAATAGTGTTGAAATATTTCTTTAATTAAATAGTGTTACATCATCCAATTTATTCATTTCATATGAAATAAATGTAGTATTAAAACAAACTTTAATATTATTCATCAAACTGTTAGCAAAACATATGACTAAAGGTGGAAGTAGTGCTTGTTTTCAAACAATGTGTTTCTTCTTCATGTTCTAGGCCTATTGGCGAAAGCAGTAGTGATAACACGACGCGGTAGCTGTTTAAACAAATATTTAAGTTTTAGTTGTTGTTGTTTTTTTCTAATCCGAAATAGGACTTTTGGGTTTACAAGAGAAAACATTTCAAGTATTTTTTCTTACAAAAAAATTCTTTGTTACTAGTAACTGTTCAAATGTTTGAAGTTTTTCTTTAAGTAATGTTAGTTTATATTTTGTTACTATACAAGAAACGTCGATCTAAACGTCTCCTGTGGGACAGCGATAAGTCTAGGAACTTACAATAATCCAGGGTTCGTTTCCCAGTGGTGGATACAGCAGATTGCCCTATGTGGCTTCTTTGCTATACAAACTAACAAGCTCGATTTAGGCTTCCCTGCTTAGTTTACTAATCATAAGGATAAAACACGTTTACAGGGGGAATAATTATTTCTTTGCATAATTTATTTTAATAAAGTATTACTACATTTACAAATATTGTCGACATTTCTAAGCTTAAAATATAATCATTAGAAACTTGCGGAGAAGTTAAAACTATTACTGCAAGTGCAATAAAAAAACACGATTTCGTTCGGAAACACGAAGACTGCGAGAAAAGGCACAACTGTAATGTTTTATGACTATGGTAAAGCTAGATTTACCAGAAAATATTGAGTAGAATATACAACACATTGAGCCCAAAGTATTTGTTTAACGATGGTTATCCCTTACGTTCATGATATTTATGGGCTTTTTTAAGTCTTTTTGTAACGCACCACATAGTAACGTAAATTAATTTAGATGTGTGAATAACATCATGGCACTGTGCTTAATTTATTATTCGATATTATACAGCAGACCAATTGTATAAGGATTATATTACAGATCCCCATTATAGGACGTCTGTAATTGTTTAATGATTACATTACAGATCCCCAATATAGGACGTCTGTAATTGTTTAAGGATTATATTACAGATCCCCATTATAGGACGTCTGTAACTGTTTAAGGATTATATTACAGATCCCCATTATAGGACGTCTGTAACTGTTTAAGGATTATATTACAGATCCCCATTATAGGACGTCTGTAATTGTTTAATGATTGTATTACAGATCCCCATTATAGGACGTCTGTAATTGTTTAATGATTGTATTACAGATCCCCATTATAAGACGTCTGTAATTGTTTAAGTATTATATTACAGATCCCCATTATTGGACGTCTGATTGAATTTCCTTGGTTTGCTGACGCAAAACGTGCTGATTAGCCTTGAATAAGCGAAACTGTAATCCACAGCATAAAGTACAGCGAATCAAAGAATGTATCTACGTCACATATTATACTTTCAATTTTACCTTACTTACATGTTTAGTTTTCACAAAACAAGCAGATAGCTTTAAGTGTTAAGTTTCAGATCAGGTATTATTTCATAATTATTTCTAAAGTCAGTTGCGGTCCATATTTTGTACCGACATTTATTTGAAATCGTATAATAAATGATAATATAATAATAAATCATAACCGAATGACTCTATTAATATTTCTATAGCTCTTGTATATATTTGGAAATTTGAACTCATGATGTCAGATTGACTTGAATTGAAAGACGATTAACATTAGAATTTGGACAGGTTGAAGTTCAACTTATTATCATGGAAATGTTAAAATGAAGTCCATCTCACACTTCCAAGTAATATGTTTATCCTAACATGATTTTAGACTTAAAAAAAAAAGATTGTTGATTAAAATGGTCTTCAGAAACATATTGGTGAAAACCTGATTGACAATGTTTCAGTAAATTACGAAAACAACTAACACAGGCTGTTTTAAGCTCTAGAGTAATATTAATTATTTTTCTATTGCTTAAAATAACCACTGGTAAATATATTGTAAATATATGGCTCTTAACATGTGTTATTAGAGGTTTATGTTTACAGATCAGTATCTATCTACATTCAGAATATAATATAAGAAACAGCTGTTAATTTGTTTTTGTTTTTTTTAGAAAATAACCATCGTGGGGAATCCAACTCTGGATTTTAGAGTTGTAATTTACTGCTGTCTCACCTGGAGAGAAATATGTTAGGTTTTTGAACGAACGATAATTACTGCTAATGTACCAGTCGTTTATGACTGATAGCTTATCTTCATAAGTACTTTAAACCCATTTTCTTTCCGAAATGTATAAATAGGGGGTTCATATGACAAACACAAATTATTAGCTAGTATATAGAATTCAATATATTGTGTATCACCATCTACCCACATAATACTTAACCATATTCATACATCTTATTCTGGTAGAACACGTACATTAACAAAAGAAAGGTCACCGTTTCGTTCGTGTGAAAATAAGATGAGTAACGGAGGGTAATAATAACCTGCAGAATAAAAGCAGACCGTGTCTCTTTCTTACTCTACTTGAGAGCGAATCTTATCAACCCACATAAAAGAATTCTTCTCTGTAGCAGCTCGACTCAAAACGTTACTGGATTACAAACAGTGTAAATCCTTTTGTTCATTGTCTTTTGTATAGATTCCGATAACAGAATGGGGGGTAGTTTTAAAATTTTATGTGTAGGTTTTTTGTTGTTGTTGTTTTTTTGCGTGCGTTGAATATTTGCCAGAGTATGATGGTATTAAAACAACACATGCTCTAATGAGATAGATCGCTCACACACAGTTTGATACTAGTGGCTAACGTGGGCGAGTCGTGGGATCCGTATCACGTTAGATTTACTAGTATATCACCTATCTAGTTTCGATCTGCTTTTATTTCCTGCCGGCTGAATCATCGTAGTGAAAACCTGAGGCGATCCTGTTTATCATTAGCTAAGATCCTACGTTTTCTGGATCCGGTACGTCTTTTTTTTTCTTCTTCTTTTGAATTTTCAATTCAAATTAGTTAACATATTCTAAACGTGTACTTCAATACGATACTTCCTCTCACCCTTTTTCATAATACAAACATCTCGAAGGCATAAATTAAGAAGGCCTTCCTGTAATTACACCTCCTTCGCGTTGAGATTACTTTAAAAAAAATCTATTGATTCTCAGCCGGTTGTACAAATTAGGGCTAGCTACATAAATATGAATTAGTTTTTGATCTCCTTTCGGTAATAAGATATGCCTTTTAAAAATCTTGAATACTGTTATCTTTATAATGTTGTCTCGAGAGGCCTAGAAGTCTAAAAGCAACGTGCTTCACACTTGCATTCGGTCGGTAACATAATAAGCCCAGTGGGTAAAGAAATAATTGTTTGAATTTTAAAGTCTTGCGCAACTCGCTCACGAGCTGTATGAACAAGGCGTATTATTTACCAAAGTAATTAATCTTGGATACTTTCATTAAAAAATGTTTTATGTCGTACGTTTTTTAAAAAGGTCAAAGTATCAAAAACTGAGAAGAAGAAGAAAATGTGAGAAATAATTAACAAAACAGAACAGGAATATTGGATTGAAAATAATGGATAAACGAATGAATTCTGCTGTTCTATTGACACAAGTAGGAACACAGAACAGATGTAGTAAATAGAAAAAAGTGAAACGCAAAAATATGTATCCGTGGAAAAGTACTTTTATCGACCATGTTTAACTCGCAATCTGAGGGTCGCGGGTTCGAATCCCCGTCCCACCTAATATACTCGCCCTTTCAGCCGTGGGGACCCTTATAATGTGACGGTCAGTCCCACTATTCGCTGGTAAAAAGAGTAGCCCAAGAGTTGGCGATGAGTGATGATGACTAGCTGCTTTCCTTCTAGTCTTACACTAAATTAGGGACGGCTAGCGCAGATAACCCTCGTGTAGCTTTGCGCGAAATTTAAAACAAACAAACAGAATTTCATATATTTGTAGTTTTAATAAAATTATAAATGTAAATCAACATTCGCTGATTACTTTAGAATACAAAAAATTTTACACAGTAGTTAGGTAAAAAAAAATGTTTTCTTTCTCTGTACCTTATAATTAAAAGAGCAAAAAAAAAACATTTTTGAAATTACAACAAACGTTGCTGTGACAACACTACTTATATACATAAACAGTGACCTACATATTGGGTTTTGTTTATGCTGAACAGTGTATACAAACAGCTACATGTTGGCACCTGTCCAAGTGCCCCATTTCTTATAAAACATGACGTTCTTTTATAAAGTTTTCCGCTTCTTCTGGAACACACTGACGGGCAGCTAATTGAAATCTAGAGGCATATCAATACTTAGTAGAATGTGACAGGAGGGAAGATAGTGTCGAATGAAACATGTGTTGTAGTGCCCGTGTTTATCTGCTGTAACCAGGAAATGTCAATTCCTGAAACGAGTTGGTTTTTGCTATTTAGTATAATAATCATTAGTACTTTACATATATTATGATATACGAATAATCAAAGCGGAAATAACAATCATTAATAGTGTGGTAGTCATGCGAGTGTTTTCGTTAGTCTGGTTTAAGAATTGGGCTTAGGTTTTCAATCGACACGAGCTTAAAATTACAGGAAGCTTTAGTA